CAGAAGCAGCGCGAAGGCGACGACAAAGGTCGAAGGAGACTGCGAAGATGTAGATGGGAGCCGAAGAATGAGAGGAAAGGCCACCAAGGAAGCAGTCGTGGGACGAGGAATCGCCTGCTCTTCAGCGGTAACAAGCCTCTCCCAGAGCGATGCGGCGCTAAGGTCCCTGCCCGCTGCTCCGCCGCCTCCCCACTCCGCCCCGCTCCGTCCCACCACGCCGACTTGCTCACCAGCCCGCACCTCCACCCGCCCCCACTCCTGCCCGGCCCCTGTCCGCCCCATGCCTGCGCCTGCCGCTCTCCTGCCCCGCCCTCCTGCCGCCCCTCCTGCCCGCCCTGCCCCGCCCCCTCCTGCCCGCCCCTCCTGCCCCGCCCCTTCCTGCCCCGCCCCTCCCTGCCCCGCCCCCTCCGGGCCCGCCCCTCCTGCCGCACTCTGCCCGGCCCTCGCCTGCCCGCCTGCCTGCCTGCCGTCCCTCCTGCCCGCCACTCCTGCCCCGCACCACCTGCCCGCCCTCCTGCCTCGCCCCCTCCTGTCCCGCCCCCTCCTGCCCCGCCTCCTGCACGCCCCTCCTGCCCGCCCCCTCCTGCCTCCCGCCCCCTCCTGCCCCTACCGCCCTCTCTGTCCGCCTCCTCATGACTAGCCCCTTCTGCCCCCGCTCCCACCTGCCCCGCTCCCACTGCCCCGCCCCTCCCAGCCGAACCCCTCCGGCCCTGCACCCTCCTACCTAGCCCTTCAGCCCACCCTTCTGCCCCGCCCCCTCCTGTCGCCGCCCCCTCCTGCCCCGCCCTCCTGCCCCCGCCCCCTCCTGCCCCGCCCCTCCTGCCGCCGCCCCCTCCTGCCCGCCCCCTCCTGCCCGCCCCCTCCTCTGCCCGCCCCATCCTGCCGCCGCCCCTCCTGTCCCGCCTCCTCATGCCTCAGCCCCTTCCTGCCCGCTCCGCACCTGCCCGCCCTCCAGCCGTACCCCTCCCGGGCGCTGCCTCCTGCCTAAACCCCTTCCAGCCACCCCCTTCTGCCGCCGCCCCTCCTGCGCCCGCCCTCGCTGCCCCGCCCCTTCCTGGCCCGCCCCTCCTGGCCCGCCCCCTCCTGCCCCGCCCATCCTGCCCCCGCTCCTCATGCTCCGCCCCTTCCTGCACCGCCTCACCACCCTGCCGGCCTCCAGCCGTACCTCCGCGCCTGCCCCTCTGCCCTAACCCCTTTCCAGCCCACCCCTTTCTACCGCCCCCTACTGCCTCGCCCCCTCCTGCCGCCGCCCCTCCTTGCCCGCCCCTCCTGCCCCGCCCCCTCACTGCCCCGCCCCCTCCTGCCCGCCCATCCTGCCCCGCCCGCCGTTCCTGTCCGCCTCCTCATGCCGTCGCCCCTTCCTGCACCGCTCCCACCTGCCCCGCCCTCCAGCCGTACCCTCCGGCCTGCCCCCTGCCCTACCCCTTCAGCCCCCCCCTTTCTGCCCCCGCCGCTCCTGCCCGCCCCTCGCTGCCCCGCCCCTCCTGCCCACACCCCGTCTGCCCGCCCTCTGCCGCCCTCCTGGCCACCCCCTCCTGCCCGCCTCCTGCCCGCCCCTCTGCCCCGCCCCTCCTGCCCCGCTCTGCCCCGCCCCTCCTGCCCCGCCCCCTCCTTGGCCCCGCACCCACCCCTGCCCCGCCCCTCCTGCTCGCCCCTCTGCCCGCCCCTCTGCCCCGCCCTCTCCCTGCCGCCCCCTCACTGCCCGCCCCTCCTGCCCGCCCTCTCGCCTCCTGCCCGCCCCCCCCCCCTCGTGGCCCGCCCCCTCCTGGCCCGCCGCCCTCCTGGCCCGCCCCCCTGCCCGCCCATCCTGCCCGCCTCCTCATGCCTCGCCCCTTCTGCCCCGCTCACCACCTGCCCCGCCCCCTCCAGCCGTACCCCTCCGGCCCTGCCCTCCCTGCCCTAGCCCCCCCTTTCCAAAAAAGGCCCCCCCCAAACCCCCTTCTGACCCGCCCCTACGCCCTCGCCCCCTCCTGTCCCGCCCCTCCTGCGTGCCCCTCGGCCCTACCTCCTGCCCCGCCCCTTCATCCCCTCCCCCTTCAGTCCCACCCCGTTCTGCCCGCGCCCGCCCTCCCATCCAGGGTAAGCCGCTGTCAGAATTCCCGCTGAGCAGCGCGCGGCTTTATATCCGGTGCGCCTTGCGTCGCCCTAAACGACGTAATTCGGTTGCGCCGCGCCAGCTCCTCTTCCCTCGCCCTCACTCTGCTCTGTCGTCCGGCGGCTGCCGGCACCCACCCCTTGCACGCCACGCCTGCGTTCTCCCGCCTTCTCTACTTGCGTTTCCCTTGCCTACGCATCTGCGTCTGCCTTACCCATTTGTAGCATTCATACGCATCTCCACCATATCCTAACCCAGCTACCTTCGTCTTTCCAACTTACCTCCTACCGTCCACCTACCCACCTCCTACCACCTACTTATGTTCCCTATGTGCCTCTGGCATCATTACGCCTCCACGCATCCCCCTTTTCTTAACATATCAACCAATCCTACTTACACTGATCATTTTAATTAACTCTCAGACAGGACCTATTTTCTCCATTATTACATCCGTATACCTACTTGTCTGTGCCGACAGGACTTCCGTTTTCCGTATATAGCTCTCATACCTTCCTAATTACCCAACCTTTTTCAGTTTTTCCTATCTCTTCTTATCTTTCTCGTCCTGTCTCAAGAACCTTGACAGTCTCCGGACGTGTATCGCTGTTCTACCGGTCTTTCCCAAGAAATTTTATCTTTAGAACATCACCGTTTCCTTCGTAACCTCTATTATCACACCCAGGAGTCTCGCTTACTCTTGTTTAACAGTCACCTTTGATTGGCATATCTTCATGGTTTCATGCATATACTCCTCCAGTGTCTCGCTTCGGTCTTTTCAATTATTTGATATTTTCATTCCATTCTTGAATCAGTATTTCTCTTTCTGATAACCTGTACCTGCAAAACCTTACACTCACTGGTATTTTTTCCATTGTAGTTGCAAGTTCTGCTATCTGAATTTTTCTGCACTTTACTTTTATCACTTGTTTTCTGTCTCACTCTACAAATTTGACGTACACCACAACTTTTCTAATAATAGTTGTTCACGTTGTTACTAATAATTAACATCAACATATTATCTACCGTGTTTCCGTATCCTCCTGATCTTTCGATTTGCTTCCTCTCTGAGTGTACTACCAGACTGAACTCTTAGTGTTAGTTTCAGTCAAAACATCATCCTTGTTGATACCAACCGTGTTTGTCAGCAACATCGTCCTTTCTGTTCCCCTGATGTCACTTAATTGAGTGCTCGCTAGTGAGCTGTCTTCTCAAAGCACCACCATCGTCTATGCTACTGACTTTCAGCCTCAGACTGTTTTCTTGACTCGTACACTCATCTCCGTGTATCAACCTTCGCTCTTTGGCGTCGTAGATAATTAACTCGTGCCTTCTTCCAGAAAGCTTACGGGACATGTGTGGGACTTTCCTGTTCCCGTTTTGAGCTTTTCCAAAGGACACTCAGGTAAGAGAAAAATTTCTTCAGAGATTCTTGAAGTGGCTCATTAGGGCCTTTCATGGTTCTTTCGACAGAAATACGTCTTTGGTATTCTGGCTCTTCCTTTACCAACTGCCATATGAGAGCGCAGTGGGGGGGTGGCTTGGGGCACCGTGACCCCCCTTGTAAATTTTCAAGGGGGCTCCTTAGCGGTACATAATTTTTTTTATTTCCGGAAATATTTTCAATCACAAATTTTCCCCTTCTTCAACTAACAATTCGGGACTTTTAAAAAGTATTGTTTCATTTAGGACGTTTCAGAAACAGTTCAGGTAACTAGCGGCCAATATCGTTTTATGTTACAAGTAACAACATAATTATAATAAACAGAATAATTAATTACAATAATTTTTTACAATAATTAAAGTTAATTGGTCAAAGCCAGTACATTAGGGAATTAATTATACATTCATTTGCGGAATAGGTTCTTCAGGTCTGGCCATAGTTCGACATTAAACATTTGTACTTATTATTAGTAGTCTTTAAAGTTATCATTTAATTCTCATTGTAATATATTTTATTTATTTGCTTGCAAAATATATCGTATATAAAATAAAAATGTTCAGTGGAAAAAGGGATCCAGAAATATAGTTGTGCCACCTTTTTATTTAGGCTGCGCACGCCCATGCTATCTGCATATTGCACACACACACACACACACACACACACACACACACACACACACACATTTCATTTACATATTTATTGACCAATAGAGATCTCCAGTCACCGCGCCGCGCGTGCCTGCCCGCCACTTAGCCGCACGGGCAAATCTGTTGCCTTGCCCCCGTGTGCTTTCGTGCTCGTGCTTGGCGTAGTCGTAGTGTGTATAGTTTGTATACGTCGCGTAAGGTAATCTGTAGAGGTTTTCGTATTTTATTTCATTGCAATTACATGACATGTACAATGTTTTTCATGTTTTTGTTTGCTTTTAATCTTTCATTATTCGTAATAATTTTTGTTAAGCGATTGCTAGCGTACTATATTTTATCTAATATTTTATTTAATGTTGTATTTATTATTTTCTCATGGTTAAAATTCGTGCATTAACATTCTGATATGTTTGTCATTGAGTTCCATCACGTATAGCTGTAACATTGAATTGCTAAGAAATTCACTTCTATTTTAACTACGTTGTTTGTCTGAATTTTCTCCCAGTTACTTCCATCGCGGTACCCATTCTACTCTGGCACATTCCTCTGTCTTTGCGACCAGCCTCACCGTTCCATTAACTGGCTCCATTCCATAGGCACTGTCCGTGGTTTCGCAGCGTGACGTAGGCCCACGGGCCCCCCTCCCCTCCTAACCCTCCTAATGCTGATTAGGTTGATTCCTAATTCTCGATTGAGTCCCCGCTCATCCTCATTCACGTCCCCCTGCCAGGCTCCGCGACGCCTGCGGGCCAGGCCCCCACTCTCTGACTCGCCCGGCCCCCTCCCCGACCCCGTTCGCCCACCCCGACCTTCACGCATGGTCTCTGTCCGTCCAACCCACCCTCAGCCCGCCAACATCACCCCTCTGGTCCGAGCCCTGACGCACCAACCCGTACATGCCCCAAACCCCACCTCCGGCTCGCCACACCCGCTCCCCGGCTCCTCCACGGCCGCAACCGCTGCCCCGCACACGCGGCACCACCCCGGCCCCACCACGGCTCTCCCCCGGCCCCCGACCCCGGTTCCACCCCCGCCCCCACCCCCGGCCTCCTCCCCGGCCCCTCCCCGCCAGCTCCACCCCATCCCTGCCCACCCTCGCCCGCAACCCCGGCCCCTCCCACACCCCGCCCCGCCGACCACCCGAATCCAACCACAACCGACCCCAACCACGACCCCAAACCCGACCCCAAACGCCGACCCCACAACCCGACCGCCAAAACCCGACCCCAAACCGACCCCAAACCCGAACCCAAACGCCGACCCAAACCCGACCCCAAACCCGACCCCAAACCGCGACCCCAAACCGACCCAAACCGACCCCAAACCGCCCCACATCCACCCCACCCACGGCCCTCCACTCATGTACTCTACCACCGTCGCCCAGGTACGCACAGAGCCTCGCACCCACCCACCCGCTCTCTACTTTGAAAACGCCAGACGGCGAGACGCGAAACCGTCCGTGTCCATTTAAAGCAATGCTCTGACGTCCCTCCAGGGAAGAGAACTGATGGTCTTCAAGCACCCCAAGCGATATTTTAGCAGTCCCTGCCTCCGCTTTCATGTTTGCGCCCCGTTACACCATGTATTCGTCTCTTATTCCTATCAATCTCTTTCGCACTCTTTTCGCCCTCTGTTCGCGCTCCGGTCGCGCTCCGGTCGCGTCCGTGTCAAAGGAGCCGACGTTTCGGTCTCCATTCTGCATTACGCCCTGAGGAAGGCCGCAGAATGGCGACCGAAACGTCGGCACCTTCGTCATAGACGCGGCGTCACCCGGACAGCCAATTAAATACTGACTCCGGCCGCGGAAGCCTACGCTCGCACATCAGGCGTCGGTTGTTCTGAATGGCCCATCGCAAATTATGCAGTGGTGCACAGTAACGTTCAGCATTTTCCACCACACGTCTCTCCAAGAACTCGTTGAGCAGAATGCCCTTCATGTCCCAGAAGACCGTGGCGAAAGTATCTGCTTGAAATTGATCTTTGTCAAAGATCCCATGTAATGCTAATTTATTGATGTCTGTTTGATTTCTAGAATAAAGTGTGCAACCCACATTTTATTACCGGTGACAATCATATCCGGAAACCCATTGCCATCATCGTGGTACCGCTCCAAAAATGTCAATCAAGACATAAAAACGTGCAATCCATGAGGATAGAAAGGAGATGTCTTTATTTACGGTTATATCTTAAAAAGAAATATGTTCGGGCGAGCGTGTAAAGCGATCAGTAATGGTTAGACAATACTTATAAGTTATAACCTCTATAAAGAGCTAACAGGCCAGCAATATCGAGTGCGAGAAGTAAAGAGGGTGAGAATAGGATGTAGTGTAGCATGTACGTGGGGAGATACTTTTAATCACTTTCAGAGTAAACAAGTTCGAATCCACGAGTTTATATCATGACGATGGTAGGGCCAGACGAGGCGTGATATGACTAATTTGACGGCAGAACATACATAAGGGAGCGTCTATAATAAACTGTAATATATTGAATATTGAATGCCGCGTCGAAGGTGGAGTATTCTGGTGAATAACCTTAATACTAATTTCTCACCATTTACGGCAATATGCCTCACCATATACGTTGCATTATGATCTGTCCCATGTGTTGACAAGGAGTTCTGGAGATGAGAATGTTGTGTAGTTCTTGTTCTCCTTGTTGTCACTGAGTTAATTCTTGATAATCAAACGTAGAAGTAAATGCAAAGTTAATTATGTTGCGGGTCAGGGCATAAACAGATATGTTTTCTAATCTGCAAATATACCGAATATCAGTCGTGAATTCAGAGATAAAAATCACTTTGTTTGAAGTAGAAGTAGTATATCGCGTTTTTTAATGCCAGTACAAGAATCTCTAAGGATATTCAAGAACGTGTCGAAAATATTGAATGACAGCATAAATAGAGAAGTTTGCCATTAACATTGCGTTGTTGACAATTCCTTCAAGAAATAGCTCAAGGGCTGTCATGATATATAATTCTGATAATGCAAAACTGCTCCAATGCTAAACGATGTTGCGTCAGTAAAGAGTCACAGTGTCTGGGTGAACAAGAGGTATAACATCAGCTAAAAAATTTTTGCAACGAAATAAAGCGTCTCTAAGGTTGATAATAGAGTTTTGTTTAAATGTTGAAAGCCAATCAAAAAGTCGTGTTTGAAATAGTATGCAACAAAGTAAACGACTAACCCTAAAAAAATGCATACCAAAAATATGTATCAAGTGTGGTTTAAATGAAATTGTTTCCGCCTTACAGAGTAATGCTGGAACACGAACACACCAAACACAGCCATCCCCTTTTTTTATTCTAAAGGTTTGGATAGAATGTTTATTTCAAAGGTAGTGTGTACAGTTTCAATGATATAAATAAAACAAAATTTATCTATTATAATTAGTAATCAGTAATTATATCTATTATAACTTTGACTATAATATCAGAAATATATGTTGCAGAAATGTTGGAAAGTGAAAAAAAATAGTAAATGTTGGTATATTGGTGATAGAAAGAACAAAAATGTTTAACGCAAAAAGTGTAGAAAATATTATCCTATTTAAAAATGATGTAAAAGAGTAATAGGTAAAAAGAACACAAAAATACTATATACATAATTCATACATTATCTTTCTCATAACAGATTTTCTAAACATTTATGAGTCAAATTACTTTCTGACTTCACAGATCAGTTACACGATTATGTGATTAAATAGGTTTCATGCATTCAAATTTAAAATAAAATATAGGGATATATGAAAAGAACCGAGGGAATAGTATAAAATAGGAAGGAGCAGATATATCTCCGCAGAATCAATGAACCTCTATTGTGTGCAAAACAAATACGCAGTGAGAAACTTCGCGCCTGTAACCGAACAAACGTCCCGCGGCTAGCCACGGCGTTCCTGAAACTATTCAACAGAGGGTTTATTCCCTCCTGCATCGCAGGGACGCTACGTCGATGAGGTTTTATGATGTGCGTAAAAGATAAAAACCGGCTCATCATCGCCCCGTTGTGTTCTCGACGTGCGTTCGCTACGGAGTGGCATATCAGTTTTGCAACGCTATCGTTCTCCGGCGGCGGTAGGGGGTGGGGCCGGCAGCGGCACCACCCACGGCCATTTGCACAGCTCGTATTCGTCACACGTGTCCATTAACAGTGCGCGACACTCACACCTGGGCCGCCCCTCCTGCCCCGAGCGCGGCGGGGAACTCGAAACCGCCTCGAGGTAAGAGGGGGCGGGCGGGGCGGGGGGGAGGGGCGGGGAGGGGGGGGCGGGGCGGGGGGAAGCGGGAGCAATCGGCGTCGATTCTTCTGAAGCGGCGAGGAGGCCTGTGTCTCTGGTGAGCGGCGGCGCGGGTGTCTTCAACAACGAGCGCCTGGAGAGTGGGGCTGAAGGGGGTGGACGCGGGCCGGGGCGGGCGCGCAGCGGGCCGTGGCGCGGCGCGCGTCCGCTCGCATTGTCATCGGTCGCGGACGGCAGACTCCAGCCGTGACGGTATACTCATGCTAGCGGCGCCGGCCTCGCCGCCCGGCGCGGACTCAGCCCATCAATGCACGCAGTCGCTGGCCTATCCATAGAAACCTACTCTCCTGCCTAACCATAGAAACCACATCCTCATCCTACAAGATAGCCTCTCCTCTCCTCCACCCAATAGAAAGCCTCGCTACTCTGCTGCGCCTACATAGAAAGCCCTACTCTCTCCCTACATAGAAACCCATCCTCATCCTACCATCGATAGCTCTTCTCTCCACCCACCATAGAATCCCATACTACTCCTCGCCCTACGCATAAGAAGCCCTACTCTCTCGCCCTATCCAATAGAAACCCATCCTCATCCTACCATAGATAGCCTCTCCTCTCCTCCACCCACCATAGAAAGTCCCTACTCTCCTCGCCCTACCATAGAAAGCCCCTACTCTCCTCGCGCTACCGTAGAAAACCCCCTTTCACCTCGCCCTCCCATTTAAAGCCCCTCCTTTTTTCGCCCTACAATAGAAACCCTCACCTATCCTCGCCCTACCGTAGAAAACCTGATCTCGCCCCTCCCAACCATAGAAAGTCCCTTGTCTCGTGTCCCACTCCACCACAGTTTTCCTCCATCCCTCGCTCTCCCTGCCATCTTTCCCTCCCACCGCATTCTGTATCAGTCATCCATCTCCGCTTCTCCGGCTCCCGTACCATTCATTCCCTATCCTCATTCCCCGACACCCCAGCCTCGACCATCCCCTCCTCCTACCTCGCCCCGCGTTGCCTACTCTTGCCGCGACGCCGCGCCGTTTGTTGCTGTCGGCGCGCCCTCCACGGCCCTGGGTTCTGGCCCCGACGCGGTTGCGCCTCACGTGCTTGAGTGCTTTTTCCAGGTTTCCCTGCCCCCCCCACTCCCCGCTGCCCCTCTATACGTCACCGCTTTTTCGCGTTCGCGACGTGGACTGCGTGTCTCGCTGCCATTTGTCTTCGCTTCACCCGCTTTTGCAGATGGACTCAGTGCTTGGACGTTTATTCACGGTGATTGAATGAACTGCATTGTGGGAGATAGAGACGTTAATGGTACGTCCTCTAGCGCTTACTTCTTTTACGTTTAAGTTGTTTTATGTCAGACGTGCATTACATCTTAGCTATTATAAATGCGGTGTTTTAGAAATGTCTTCGTTTCACGTCTGCCAAAGATTGTACAATTTATTAGAAAAATCCCATACCACAACTTGCCCGGTAAATATTTCTATCACTACTATCTCTCTCTCTCTCTCTCTGTCTCTCTCTTTCGCTCTCTCTCGCTCTCACTATCTCACTCTCAAAAGTTAATGACACAATAATAATATACACAGTTAATAATGCTGTATATGTGAGATTATGCATGTTTTCGTTTGGCAATAACTTTTGAATGGCTAAAGTGATTGCTCAAACCTCAGGGGAAGACACTTTCGAGAAGCCGAGAAAAACTACAAAGTTTTTCGATCCGAGAATCTAACCCGAAATTTGACTAACCTATAAAATCTTAACAGACATTATGTAACCCACATGCATTTACTTAGCATGGTTTCCCAAGGATTCGTGATTGATTGATTGTGATTCAAAGTGTGTCAACTACTAAGGTCGTTAGTCCCGTAAGTGTAGTGCACGTTATTCCTCGAACGGTGCCGGTGGTCTTTCCCTCACTGTATGGCGATATCCGGCGCCAACCTACCGTAGGTTAACGGGGGTTTTCTCCAAACAGGTATCTCACATCAGCAAGGCTCCGCCGCAGCCGGGACAAGCGCTAGGCTCCCCACCGGTCTCCCGGCATGTGTGCCGACAGTAATGCAGTGCATGTTAATGTAAGTATGTGTATATGCGCGATGATAGGACAAGGGAATAGAGATAGGAAAGATCACGCGAGGTCCGTGGCCCGCTTGTTAGAGTACTGCTCCGGCATTCGCCTGGTGTTGATCGGAGAAACCATGGAAAACTATCAGAGTAGCCAATAAGAATTCTCCTCCAGACAGCGACTGAACTCGAACTAGCTGACAAGCTGGAGTTGAAAATCCTGCCACCGTCGAGACTTGAACCTAGGACCACCCGGTCAGAGTGACTGCACGGAAGTTACGGCGCGTGTGGGCGGGGAGGGGGTTATGGTGGACAGAGGGCGGTGCTACGTAATAGACGACTGTGATTGTGTGTGTGTGTGTGGGGGGGAAGCAACGTCCGATAATCAGGTTGTCGTAATATGTTAAAATGTCTGGTCCAATTTATCTCAGCAATAATTTAACAATTTCATCCAAACATGGCGCGTTCTCATATTAATTCAATTTCAAATAAGTGGTACTAAAACTCATTCTACCTCATATCATTGGTGATGTAACATTATAATACTTCCTTAGTGGGGCGCCTTCAACAGCTATTTTGTGTTAAAACGTTTTATTTGTGCTTTGCATCATCATAAAAAAATATGTTTTAAACATTTTTCAGTTCCCCAGCTTGTCCATTTTTGGGCATATAAAGTTACTGAAAAATATCTATTACTTCTTTACTTTTTAATATCATTATAAAATAAATTTCAATTATCATTAATCTGGCAAGTCACGTCATACCGGTAAAGGTGGCTCGGAGCATTAACTGATGTCACTCTGATCCAGTCCTGGGTTCGCATCTCGACGGTGTCAGAATTTGCATCACTTGCTAGAATGCTAGGTCGAATTTGACCGCTTTCTCGAGGAGTATTCCAGTGGTCACCTATTATTCGGTAGTTTTCTGAGGTTTTTCCGATAATTCTGGCAAATATGGGAGCAATAGCCTTACAAACGAGCCTTGAACCGCGAGCAATTATTCCTTCCTATTTCCTTGTCCTAACCTCGCCCCTTACTTACACACACTTACACTAACATGCACTACTCTACCACACATGCCGGGAGACTAATGTGGAGTTTTGACCTTGTCCTCTGCTGGGGCGGTGCCCAGTTGGTGGGAGACACCTGTTTGGGGAAAACCCGCAAGCCGACTGGCAGGTCGGTGCCGGTTCTCATCATCCAGCGGGGGAAGATCACCGCCACCTCACGAGGAAAAAAACATGCACTACACTTTCGGAACTAATGATCTTAGCTGAATGATGCGCTAAGAATCTCTAATCTATTAATCAATTATGAGTCCAATGTTCCCAGTGTATACAGTACGTTTACTTCAAATGATGACCGTCAATGGGGTACGAGGGGTATTTTAGCCGTAAATAACATTCGTATTAATGTTAGTAGTAAATTATAACTCGAAGCGTCGGCGATTGGGTCTGAGACAGCGCTGGTGCACTGTTGTCACATAAGTGTTCCATTTTTCAAGGTAATGTAGCATACGTTTCACAACAACAATCTAATAACAGCGCTGACTAGAGAAAATGAAAATAGAATGATCAGGAATACTTATATTAATAAATAAATTATTATTATTCCAATACATTTCTCAAAACTCTTCGTCAACGCACGTTTTAATATTGTCGAAAATAAGTTTTTAACAATCGATTGTCAAACTACCTAATATTGCGTGAAATATATCAACAAATGTGTATGATGTATCAAATTTACCTAACTTTAACGTTTACCCTCTACTACCGATACTATTGGCTTCCAATGACATAAAATGTTCTGTACAATGTAAAGGATTGAATGATCTTATCAGTTCGTGTTTTGAACATCTTCCGAGAACAAAATGGGAAGGAAATCAGAGGAAGCCTATATATATTTCTTAAGAGGAATCAATAAGTCAATTACATACATTATTTTAAATCAAACATGCAATAATTTAACTCAAATGCAGAAAAAATTGTTACTGTTGGCAATGTTAATGACAGAAGAATTACGATGATCTAGGCATTGCTGTTGCTAAATTGTTCCAGAATCTTACAATCACAGAACAGTATAGCTCAGAAGAGTTGAGTATGACAACACAATCATGGGAATGAGGTTGTGTAGGGAGGACGAGAATAATACACTCTGACTTTGCCATTCCATTTCACCACATTATGTATGTGTGTGTGTTAGAGAGAGAGTGAGAGAGAGAGTGAGAGAGAGAGTGAGAGAGAGAGAGAGAGAGAGAGAGAGAGAGAGAGAGAGAGAGAGAGAGAGAGAGAGAGAACTGCCTCATGGGCTTGACCCTTCGCTTGGACTTTCAACACACCATGTGAGATTAGTCTTTGTCCTCGCCCTTTGTTGGAATGTGACGTGATCATGTGTGAGCGAATATAGGCATCAAGTCACGCACTTATGACAATTCAAGCAAGCGCCTCTTCTGTCGCAGCTGACGTTTGCTCGTACAATAACACTAATGGCAATCGAATTAGATTTAAACCAAGTAAACTTTCCAGGCGCTGATAAAAGCAAACTGAAAATTTCAGCGAAATCAGTCGAGTAGTTTACTTTCTCCCCTATTACGTACTCACGTAGTAAAGAGAAGCAGTGCTGCAGCTGAAAGTAGAAATTATTCTTTGAATTAACATGCTCTGTGGTGTCTTGATATCGAAAAAGTACATAAATTGTATTCCTACATGTCGTAAATTTTTTTCTCTAATACGTTGTGTTGGATAATCTCGATTTTAATTATAAAAATTAACTGGCGTAAAATGGGTCGTTTTTCTTTAATACACTGATTACTCTCCAAACCGTCTGCAAAGCACCTGACAGAACGAAGAGTAGAACTGACAAGTCTCTGACCATTAATCTTGAAATAGACTTGAAGATACAGAAATATTCATAATGATGAAAACGGAGGGTCAATAAAAATAATTTATGAATACCTGGTACCTCTACCCGAAGGGAATCCATTAAGCCTGCGTTTTAGCAGACGCATAACTAGGGATTAGAAACAGGTATATACTTTCAAATTTAAGATCATCCGTAAAACGTTAGTCGAGGGGATGAACTTTAGTAGCTCTTACGAGCGTGTGCTTCATCATGCAGCAATCCGGAAGAGGGGAGTTTAGAGTCGTTTGAGAGGCCTAAGGGAGGGCTCTCCCTGCCCGGGGACAGCGGAGGGCCCTCCTCCCTTCATTCACAGGGCAAGTGAAGGAAGCTCTGTACAACCGCTAATAAAGCGTAGTCTACGACCTCCAAGTTCCAGCGCGCCAAGAGTTACAGACTCTTTTACCGCGATCTCGCGCGCCAGGTGCGGAGCGGGGCGGGGCAGGGCGGGGCGGGGCGGGGCGCGGCGGGTCGGGGTGTCGTGAGCCAGTCGCCGTGGAAGTAATAATCATGAATTTTACACAACAATGGAGCGAAGTTTTAAAAGCACTTGGGGCTCTGCCACGAGAGTTTAACGGAAGGCTTTATCTCTTAAAAATAACTGCGGGATACATTTGCTTTCATGCCCCATTCGGGCGGGGCGTCGCCGATACTAGCGCTCGCCGCGGCGAGCCTCGTCACTTGACGCTCGGGGATTCCCCACTGGTCTACGCCGGCCGCTGTCCGCTCCCCGGCGATAAGAGCGTAACATGGAAGCATGGGCTGATTCTTGTCGGTTATAACGTTGAACTAAGCCGCTCTTTTCTGGCGTTATGAGAAAATTATGCCGCGCCCACTTGTCTTGCTACGCAGATTCGACGTTCGCGATCGGCTGCGCTTGCCAAAGCCGTAATATCACCATAAGTAAAGTAAAAAAAATAATAAACTAAAATATACCTCTAGAGTTTTTCATGGTATATTTTTTTCTATTTTGTGATCAAAGACATTCAATACAGTAGATTCAACGTTAGTTATATTACATATTGTAACATAATTACATTGCATGAGTACATTGCAATTAATGGAAATTGTCACGTAAAAAAAGATGAGGTGTGTGAGGCCTTGAGTGTGGTACATACAAGAAGTGTAAAATCAATTGGAATATAAGTGGTAGTATTATTACTAAACATATTGACCATTGAACTAAGGTAATAAAAAGAGACGACAATACGACGATAAAATGGGTTGTATATTGTATTGAAATAGTTATAAAAGTGAACATTTTCCTGATGAGTGATCTTTTTTTATAACTTTTTCAAAGATGTCCCGATGTAGGAAGAGTTACATGAGGGCTGAAAAGAGATTTTCATTAACCAATTTTTAGTTTAAAAATTGTTTAATATAAACTAATTTAATGTTTCACCTTTGTATTTTATTTAGCTTGTTTTCTGTTCTATAAAACTTTCAAATTTGTCCTAGTGTTTTATTGAGACCCACCAATTTACAAATTAATTAGTAAGTAATTATGGATTCAGTACTACAAGCCCTATACGGTCAATTAAGTAAAATAATAACGTATTTATTTCGTAAAAGTAATTAGAGTTTAAGATATTCTGTATTACGTTAAAAATATAATAAATGTAACAGCTCTTTCCTTAACGAATTAGTAACTGAGGTTTCAATTTCAATACAGAATGCCCTTGTGGTAGATACACATTTCAAAATACTGTTTTGAAATGTTCTACCGTCGATTTATGACAGGACTCATCTATTCTTCTCCGCCGTTATGATAACAAAATCGCGCTAGTTTCGCTTTTAATTCCGAAACCTATTATTTTAAACTTCCGTAAATTGAAATGGCACACACAATGTTGCATTTCGAGTCAACATACTCTTGACGTTCTGTGTCTCATGTGTCTCTCTGTTCGTAACGTTTCATAACTTTTAGAAAACTGAATACGAATTTCATAATAGTAGTTTATGAAATTAGTTTATAATGTATAATGTGCAACATTATAAACGAGGCGAATACGCTATTTTTTTTATAACAGCATTATAGATTTATAAGAAAATCACATTTAATTTTGCGAAACAACTTTCTTAAGACTTCTCGAGCATTTGACATCTGTGCCAGAAAACGTCGTCTGCGACATTTATCTCTTCCTCCTCACGATTATCTTTCTGCGATTGGCTGAATGTGTGATGACGCTATCATTCGTGCCGTAAAATCTAATACATCATCATTTGTGCAGTAAATTTTCAGATTATTAACTCTTTCTTGTGACATAAAAGGTCGTTTATAATGTTAGAATACAAAAAATCTTTAAAACTTAGTAATAGTTGTGACAATCAATGCAGCCGAAAAGATGCTGTCCCAAATATTAGTGGCACAGATTTTTATATAATAACATTTATTGCTATTATTTAATGCTCATTTCTAATTTTTTAAACATATTTTATATCAAATACTAATTTACTATCAATATAATAGCAGCTATGCTGAATAGCCGTTGAGATTGTGTATCTGCACTAAGCATTTCGTGACACAGACAAGCCACTTTGCAAACACTCGTGGTTAGGAAGTCCCTTCCTGTTAACGATAGCACAATTTAATAATAAGTAAATATTATTCTCAATTTAAATGCGTAGATAAGTCTACACATTTTAATTTTGAGATTATTTTGAGAATACTTGCCAAAAAACATTTAAAATGTTCAGGTTCATTAATAAAACTATTCACACTAACCTGTCGCTCACTTCAATTCTTGAAAACATCATATTAAAAACGTAATAGCTATCACAAAATTCAACAACTAATAATCCTTTGGTACATAAAATCGACCCAGAACGAAAGTATGTTAGCTCATCAATAAATAAATAAATAAATAAATAAATAAATAAATAAATAAATAAATAAATAAATAAATAAATAAAAATGTTTTATATTAAATATCTCATCTCAAAAGAACTGATCTCACACCAAAAGTAATTCACAAGTAAGGCGTATTATAACTTTTTAATTAAATTGTAAATACGTTATATCAAAGTGTATTTATTTTTGCCATCGAATCCTTTGTCATATCTCTTTCATTATGCATGCAAACATGAACACACAAACGCATTACTCCTAGTAAGCATATTGAGTAGAAGAGGACTGCAAATAGATAAAGTAATGTTTTTCTCTCAACCCGTTCCCTTTGAGAGAAATTGTGAACTTGATTCAATGGCACAAGCTGGAAATGTTGGCAAATGCGAAAATTGTTATTGTTACGAATGAATAGTCAGGGGAAAAGCAGTTCAATTGGCATCCGTTCTATTACAGAGTTCCCGCATTGCTCTTTGGAAAGGGCCAGGTCCCAGCGGTTGCGCATTAATTCGTTAATACGAACATGCATATGCTCTTTACCACCAGCTCGTTCGCCTGACAATGCTCCTCAACGCCTTTGAAGTTGATTTTGAATAGTGATGACGAGTTACACGTTTTTAGCAGCTTTGACAGCAGCGCAGAATGATGCGAGTATTAGTATTATGCTAAAGCGTGTTAGTTCTGAACCTCTAGTGTGACTACTTGATCAAGAATCTGTGTTCAAAAGTTTGTCAAGTTCTTCCACTATGTACGCAGAATACCCAAAATAAGTTGTATTTACATAAAATAAGTGATTTTACTGAATATCGTAGTTAAACAGATACTTAAGACGTATTAATCACGAAACAGTTCTTACACTATTGGCGAATTTTATTCTTTTATTAAGCCGACAGTTTGGTCTCAGTTTAGATCTTCTTTTGCGCTACACGTAACACTAAACACCACATGAACAGTGCATAAAATATTTTCCAATACATACGCATATATAAATATTTCAACTCTAATACAAATTGTTAACACGTAACTTGTATTCAGCTCTAAATGAAAATACAACTACGAACTCATAATTTGAAGTTAAATTTATGTAGAGAAACAAAACTAGGGGCCATCTCATCATTTGCTCAAGGATCAGGAAAACTGGACGAAAACCTGATCAAAATGGGGGTCATTGACCCAGATGCTGAAGTACAATACTTTTTACAGGTTCTTTACAGTTATACAATCCAAATGGTATATAATACATTAAATGCCATTGTTAAATTCCTTTTGGATGCTCGGAATAGTCTCTAATTGTATAGAGAAAGTTGTGCAGCTAAAAAGATTTTACTTGGGGCTTACACTTTTGTATCGAATATAATCATTTAATGTCATCTGGCAAGGTGTTATAAAATAATGTACATGTATTATATGTTAATTTTTTGTAGTGAGCTGTTGAAACTGCCACCTATGTACCTGATGTACCTGATGAATGTGATTACTACACCAAATATTGCAGTTATAGACAACGGCGTTTGCTGAAAATATATTCCCGCCCTTAAGTAAGTCATTATTGACTAAAACCACTGATTCATATATAAAGAGACTGGTAAAATACCTAGATTAATAAAGTGAGAATTACAAGAATCACGTGGGTGGAATTTGTTTAATATTCGTACAATTATTTTTTGTAGTCTGAAAGTCTGGGAGCTATACAGTCAATTTTCTAACATGTTGTATAGTAATAATCCACATTTACGAGGTCCTTGACACCGAAAACTTGATTTATTGCAAATGTCTGTCAGTTCTTTCTTGCTACCATTACCTACTGGCCTCCCAACAAGTGTGATACTGTAATAAGTGTGACTGCAAGTGAAGGAGGAAGGAAAATTCGCGCCCGGTCCGCGACCCGTTTGTTTGGGTACTGCTCCGGAATTTGCAAGATGATGATCGGAGAAACCACGAAAAAGTACCGATCAGAGTAGCCGGCTGCTAAAATTCTCCTCCAGACAGCGGCGGAACTCATCCCAGCTATCTAGTTTGTGGCGAAAATCCTGCCATCGTAGATACTCGAACCATGCGATCTCCCGGTCAGAGACCCAGCAGTGACACCAGTTGATACCCTGGGTCACCTCTGCCTATATCTTGGTCAGATTCAGTCGATGTCTGAAGGAGAATTCTAGCGCCCGTCTTCTCTGATTGGTAGTTTTCCGTGGTTTCTCTAATCAATAGCAAGCGGATGCCAGAGCAGTAGCCTAATAAACGGACTATTAAACGCACGCGACATTTCCTTCCTCTTCTTGGTCAAATCATCTCATCTCACTCACAGATGAATACACTTTCATGCACTGTACAACCATACATATTCAGTTGGGAGCATAGATCTTGTCCCAGGTGGGGCGATTCCCCTCTGAGAGATACCTGGAATGGGAAATTCTCCGCAAGCCTATGTGGTCATCTCTCCCCCTAGCAGACAAGTAACACCAACTCCGGAGATAAAATCATACATGCAGTGAATGTGGGACTAATACTATAGCAGTTGACGTACTCGGAAATATCATACGAAAAAAACAATTAACGATTTTGTTAAATCTTTATATAGAAAATTGAGTAACTGGAGCCTGTCTGTCCGTCACTCATGCTTAGAAAACTTTCGCTCCACCAATCGAAATAAAGCTGCCGCGTTCCCTGATGGGAAACTGAACAATTTTGTATAAATCCATCTAGGACATTCTAGAAAATAAATGTAAAATACGTTCTTTTAACTGTTTTACAGCTACTGAAACGCATTTTGGGTGATTCGCGGCACCTACAGACGAGTAATCATTAGATGATTCGATTCTTCTTGGCAAGACAAGTCGATTGGTACAATTTGTATCCGGTTCCTCTGTGTGTTTATGATGATTTCAGTTCACTTATTAGAACATTAGTGAAATTCTGTGAATTACTATACTATCTTTCCGACCTTGATATGAATTGTTATGACTTGATTCTTAAGGTTGAAATCTACCTTTGTAATTAACCAAAAATTGAAATTACATTCATCGATACGTTTCCTTGTAAAGCGCAAAATAGACGCTCCTGGCAACTTTAATGCGTTTAAAATTTATTTTTATTATGGAATTAAACTTTTTGACATGAAAATACTCCCCAAAGGCACCATACTAAGCTATCATGTAAATAATCATATGCAATTACTGTATAATCACGGGCAGACACACCAATTTTAGTTATATAGATAAAATGTTTATGCATAAAATTCAGTGATAATAGTATAATACCACATTAAAGATAACCGCACAAAAATTGTTGGGACGAAATCAGACGCTTGAATTAATATTTTTTATAATGAACAGCAGAAAGCAATTTAATTTCCTTAACACTAAATTTAAGGTTGTTTTCATTTCGAAATTTCCTTCATTATAAAGAATGGATCCTCAAACCTCGGTTCTCTAGGCGGGATAGCGAAGCGATTTTGAAGAACTTGATATCACCTCGGTGAAATTTTTGGCTCCTTGTGATTGTTGTCACTGGTTGCCACGTTCTATTGCGGAATACAATTTAGTTCCTCTGATACTTTTTTATAGTCGTCAAGACACTGCTTTCTCTGAATCCAACATACTGAGTATCGAATATTAGATATTATGTATTCTCAGAAGTCTTCGCAGTTTGCTAAGAGTCAACAATCTTTTGCTATTCAACTATGGGAATGTAGATTTATCGTTATACAGTATCCTTTTTCTTTCATATATTTGTCTATATCTCTGATCGCCAATATTTTATTTGTCAAAAGTTGTTTTACTTTAAGTGGTGTTAATTGCAAAGTGTAGGTCATTTAAAAGGATGGCAAAGCAAAATAAAAAATTAATAGATATTGTCCTATTTAGTAAAATTATTGTATTTTTGGCCCCGAGACACTTCACAAAATCAAGAGAACCAAAAAAAATTCGATTTACATAAGACTACTGCGTGATGCTGAATTTTGCAAGAATAGTTTCCTTAACTATTTAACTTCGAGCTCAATAAAACGTGGGAAAATGAACGCTTCGTAAAAACTGCCGAATGATAACTTCTAGGTGTAATTTCAGAACTCTAGGAGTTTTTAATGTTTTATAACTTATAGAATCTCCTGTCCAAAAAATACTTAGCAGAGTATTCTTAAACCAAAACTAAGATTTTGAATGAAAACTGGTTTCTATCTTGCTCTGTAGATGCTCAAAATTTATGATACGATCACGGGAAGTTGTTTTCTCGTTGGATAATCACCAAATGATTACGAAACCGAGATACTCTCGCTATTTTTGTGGAGCATTAGCATTCACACGATGGTTCATAATGTGCTAATTGTGATGATGGCTCAGCTTCAACGACTGTCAACGTAATGTTTTGATTAAAAAATTGATTACAATGTATTTCTTGGTCTTTAAAATATGTGCGGGATGGAAACTCGTGACTACCAAGTACGGAATAGAGAATGGAATTTTTACGCATGTTGAGATAACCGGTACCATTCTCTGTTATTCCTAACTTGGCTATGCAACTTACACGTCAATGCAAATTTCTAACATTGTGGCAAAAATATTGTCACGACTATTAAGCACCAAATGAATGTCTTATACCCGACCACGTGGGATCTGAAAGCTTGCCGACTGGTAAAACTAGACTTGTCAATTACCGACGCACCAATGATAAAACCCACTGACAAAGAGGATTAACCCATGACAGTATCACTATCATATGTGCTTTCTCTATGGAGTAGAAAGTTATGTAATGCTGTGCGATTACAATCCGATTTTTTGGCAGAAAACTTATAATAAGGCCCTGGCAACGAAAAAGTCAATATATCCATATGCTATATTTAAAAACAAAAATGCTCTAACACCTGGTGTAGCCAGAATTCATTTTTTGGTCCTTGACAACGAAGAATCGAATGACGAAAAATTGTTTGCCAGTCCGTCCGTGCGTCTGTCCGACTTTCCGTCCGTCTGTGAACAACACTACCGGCTAAACTGTTGAGCCGATCTTGTTCAAAATTGACATCCCCCAATCGTTATGACTGATGTTGCGACACTTAAATTGGAAACAGATATTTTAATTTTGGAGGGTACTTTACATGAAGCCTCAGGGATATTTTTCAAATGTTCACAAAAATGACTCTATCATTTTTGATGGAAGATTTGCTTCCTTTTCATTGTATACCCAATGTTTCCACTGCAATATCCACTAATCCCATAGTGTTATTTTAATATTTAAAATGTCGCTCAAAACGTAATCAGATTCACAGTCATAAAAAAATTTGTTGCCGTTAACAATCAAATTCAGTAGTGGACATTATTTGCTTCATTTCATTACTAGTTTTTATTGATTTTTTAAATGCCTCCAGGATATTTTAATAATGAAAAAGAAAATAACACTGCAGGAATGCACCAGTAATGGAGTAAGGAGATGTATCACCTAGAAGTGAATGCAACGGTAATAAATGTTCGTGCTGCGCAGCAATGACAGCGGTAGAGATGGCGGGGGAGGAGGTTGCGGCGGAGGTGATGGCGGAGGTGATGGCGGAGGTGATGGCGGAGGTGATGGCGGAGGTGATGGCGGAGTGATGGCGGAAGGTGATGGCGGACGGTGATGGCGGGAGGTGATGGCGGAGGTGATGGCGGAGGGTGATGGCGGAGGGTGATGGGGAGGTGATGGGGGGCGATGGTCGAAAGGGAGGCGAAGGGGGAGGCGAAGGGGGGAGGCGGCGGAGGTGGTGGAGGAATGGTCAACCGGGAGGAGAGTGGAGTGGGGGCAGCGGAGGGGGTGGGTAGGTCGGGGAGGAGCGATTCAGGAATGGGACGTGGCGTGGGGCGGGGGAGTGGGGGATTACGGTGAGGCGGATTACATGAGGTGAAGTGGGGGCGGTGGCTTCGGGGTTCACGCCTGTGAAGGGGATGCTCTGGCGGCAAAGCATGATGGTGCAAAGGGGATTGCGTAGGCGGGAGGAGGTCCGCTACGCACGGGGGGGGGGCGTGGCGGTGGCGCCGGGCGCGTCCAGTCGGTCGGGTCTGCGCAGGGGCGCAGCGCAAGGGAGCAGTTGTCGGGGTCGCGGCGGGCGCCGTCAACGTCTTCAGCCTTCTCGCTGGTAAAGGCGTCGGCGGAGGCGGGGGGGTCGGGAGGCGGCGCGGTGGCGGGCGGGCGGCGGCGCGGGCGGCGGCGCGGCGCCGGCGGCCGGGGGCGGCGGCGGGGGCGGCGGCGCGGGGGCTTTGGAATCACGGCGCTCGCCGCACACCGGCCCCTCCGCCGGGGAGCCGGGACAAGTTCATAGCATCTTATAAGCCATTTCGCACGCGCCATTTCCTCCGCACGCGCTGTTCGCGCGCGCCCGCCGCCGCCACGGTCTGGGCCAGTGGCCAGACGTCGTCGTCCGCCAGGCGCGCGCGCTCCGCGGTGGTCGGCGCTCCACCCGCGGCAGGGCGGCTCTCCGGCGCGAAGCTTCTGCGGCGCCCGGTGACGGCCTCACCCCCCGCTCTGATGCCGTTCGCCTCCGCGCCAGGGCCGCGGGCCACGTCAGCGGGCGCTCCTCGCGGCCCCGGCGACGACGATTAGGCGGGCACTAAATGCTCGTATGTCTGAACAAAGACTGAGCGAGCGCGGCGATAAGGGGGCCCCCGAGACGAACTTTCCGCAGGGTTATCGCGCAAACAAGGGCCCGCTAGGGGCCCCGCCACCTCCGCCTCGCTGCCGCCGCCGCCAGAGACGGCAGTTTTACGCGGCGCGTGCGGGCGCGGGGAGGCGCGCACGGATTGAGCGACTCGGTTTATGTGAATCGATAACACGCCGGCGGCGCGGGCCGGCGCTTGATCTTGCGGCGCCCAAACGCTGTGCCGTCCGTTTAGGCTACGCCTCCGTGCGGTCCCCTCCCCGCGCCTCCTGACTTCGTATTTCAGCGCTAAGCGCCTACGCTGCCGCTGTGTAAACTCCCGTGCCCTGCCGAGCCCGCGGGCTCCGCACCGGTCCCGCCGCGCGACCTGCGCCGCTTCACGATGGAGAAGAGCCCGCCGCGCGAATGGGCTTTTGATTCCCGGCGAGCGAACGGCGATGAGCGCCCTGGAGGGCGGGGACGCACGGACCGATTGGTTGTCGTCGGCAGCGAGCGATTTCTTTGTGGCCGCGACGCTTCCACAACAGCTGGATGAGAGACGCAACGACCGCCCAGGCCATAAAATCGGATAACGTTGATTGCTGGGGCTTGCTTCTGATGCACTGAGCCAGTGAACCAAGAAGTACCGTTTTATCGCTGGGGATGAGCAGTAAGCAAGACTATCTTGTGTCGAGACAGGCTGTTGTTTCTCTAGATGTACTTTGAAGTGTGCCTCTGTGCGTATTCAGTACGAAGAAAGCGTATTACAAACAGCGATGCAATTGTTGTGGTCGTTTTTCTCTTAAATGGTGGATGACTGTAATCGCAGGATCAGCGTCATTATAAGGCATTTAGTTGGTTCTTTTTGCATAATTTTGCCAAACTATTTCTGAAAACATAGTTCCGCCAGAACAATTCTGTCTTCATGCTCTAATACCGATAACAAATCAGTACTAAAGAATCAAATTACAAATTAAGGTCAATGTCTGTACTTTTTTGTTTGTGCCGTTCACATACGTTTTATGCTAGAAGCCTACTAAAAACGTACCAGAAATGATTGCAATTGTTCGACGGTTTTACGGAATAAGTAATTGGCCCCTCAGAAGAATATTTTGTGATAGATCAAGGGAAAAAATTCAAAAGGATAATTTCAAATTTAAATTTGCTTCGTTAAAATATATTGCCTTGTCCAATAGATAGCAAATATATGACAAGGTTTATACTGACACACAAGTTGTATTGTTCATTCATTTTCTCATATCATCAGAGCCGGAAAAAATAGATTTTTTATATTCTACATAACATCTCATGAAAAACTCCCCTTGTAGCTCCGCCTTAAGAAAATAGCAAATCAATGAACGAAAAATAGACTATTTCCTTCATCTTGTTTATATCTCCGACACAGTGATAAACGTTTCCAAAACACACAGTGAAGCCAGCCAGCCTTGCCTGCCAAAACACCCAGCAATATGGCGTGAAACGGCATATGTGCCTCGTCTCCTGAAACTAACAGGGACTTTTCGTTGCTACCGCCGCGCCCTCCGCCCCCACAGGCCCTGCCACCTCAGCGGCTCTGGCACCCTCGCTGCCTCCGCCGCCCCCACCGTTGCTGCCACACTCACTGCCGCTGCCACACCCACTGCCGCTGCCGCCCAGCTCCTCTGACATGGTCGCTGACGCCTCCGCCCCACCGCCTCGTTCTCACAGCTTCACCATAGGTTTTGTCGCCATCACCCCCGCCACACCGCCCACACCTCACCCGTGCTGCCTTCGCTGCCGCCTCTGCTGCCTCAACGTCTCTGGCATCATCGATAACTCCTTCGCCTCCATCATTCCCCTAACAAGCCGCCCACACACCCCTGCCACACTCCCGCCCCTGCTGCCTCAGCATCACTAACACCGTCACTGCCTTCGCCACCTCACCGCCGCTTTCCCACTGCCTCCGTCGACATCCCACATCCCCACTCCGTCGACATCTCACTCCACCCCTGTCGCCTCAACGTCTCCCCCACCCCAACGCCCCCGCTTCCACTTCCGCTTCCTCCACCTCCGCGCCTCGCCTTCCGCTCGAAACGCAGACCAACCCACCGCACCCTCCAGCCCGCCTTCCACACATGGCTGATCCCTTGTTTTCCAGACGGCAACGACCGTTCCCGTATGGAAATATTTTTGAAAACCTTCCACAGATATATATTACGTTTACGAGCGTATGCCTATTACGTTTTTCCCCTTTTTCTGTTGTTTTTTTTTTTCGAAAAACCCAACCAACATGTTTCCGCAAATTTCAAGGTCGATAAACACGAATTCCTTTATGGCGATTCCACCGTCTGCGTCCTCCCCTTATGCATTTTTCGAGGGGGGATGATTCCGCCATATTTATATTGAAATGGTTGGGGGTGAGGCCGGCTTCTGGCGGCCAAGATCCCGTCTTCCTTTCCGTCGACGTCTGCGGCGGAGGCGGCGGGCGCGAGCGTTGCTGGCGGTGGCGGAGGCCGGAACCCGCCCTCAGCAAACAGGGCGTAACGCGAGAGCGGGCTCGCGCGCCGCCGCCGCTTTACGAGCAAACACTGCGCTTTTTATGATTGAGGGATGAATCTGCCAAAGCAGAGCCGCCCGCCTTCCTTTTGTTTCCTCAGCTGCGCCCTCGCCTCCGCGCGCCGTCGTAGCCGTTGCGTAGTGATTCATCTTGCGGAGGCGAAGGCGGAGGAGGCAACGGGGCGACGGGGGCGGCGTGGCGCTGGGGGCG